AATTTTTTTTACACTAATAATAATTGAACAATGTTTTTGGGTTTGTTTGTGGTTATAGAGCATTAGCAGTATGAATAAGGACTTTTTTTAATTTGGATGATTTTTCATTGCACTTAAATGAGCACACTGGTTGTCTGACAGTGAATAGAAAATACAATATGTATTTTCTATTTCTCTATTTTGCAGTTTATTTGCTTAAACTGTCCTCCACCCATGAGGTGTGTTTATAATAAAGCCTGAAATTAAAGTTTAGTGAAATGCACGTCTATTACCAGGTCAACAGGGGTCACCATCAGCCCCAATAACAGTCCAGGAAAGGCGATAGAGTCCAAAGAAGACAGAAACTGTGGATCTACAAATATGAACACCTAGATGTCTGAAACTGTACATATACAGTATTTTTCAAATAACATTGTTCTTGCAAATATAAGAGATGATGTTAAAATGGCTGGTTTTAAAGAATAATTCTGGTTGGATTTTGAATGTTATTAATTGTTATTTTTGTTTGTATAACAACAAACACATCTCTTCTTTCTGTTTACATTAATACTCATGTAAAACAACTACAGTGAATCTCGATATTGCCACACAAAGATTCCAGGAAAAAGATGAGAACTTGGCAGTGTGACATTACAGGGTGTGGTGGCTGACCACGTAGCACGTTGCCAACACACTTCTGACTAATAACTAATAATAGCAGACCTCCTCTGGCAGGAAAAACATCAGCAATGATCCTGGAGAATTTAGCTGTTGCTGTCCATCAAGCTGCAAAGGTTATGAGGTCATTTCCAAAGAAGGCTGTCATTGTACAATTAAAAATATTATTCTCTTATTCATAAGTGAAAAATATTCAAGGTAAATGTTAATGTTCGCAGCAGTTTCATCCCAAGTGCAGTGCTCAGAGAACAAAAAACTCTACAGGCCTCAGCATGTTAAATCTTCACACTGAACATGGTTGGTTTGGAAGTGTTGCCAGCAGAACATCTCAGCTGTCTGAAAAGAACATGTCAACATGGCTTAGGCATGCGATGCTGCCTCTGAACAAACAACAAGTGGAGATGTTTGTGTATAATGCAGTGTGATATTAGGTGAAAACCAGATATATCAGTACTAACAACTCATACCATCTGTCAGCTCACCGCGATGGGTGGGAGAAGATTTCGGCTTGGACACCTTCCAGTCACTGAGTCAACCACAAACTCTATCCCGAAGTATTCCAGATTCAACTATGAGGACATCAGTCCAACAGCTAAAACTAAATGGTAAATAGTCTGCTTCTCATGTAGCACTTTTCTACTCCAGCTGAGCACTGAACTAACCTCCAACCTGATGAGTAGTTGGTGACCTGCTCTACCTCCTGAGCCACAGCCACCCCCCAAAAGGAGACTGTTTGGTGAAAACTTTACGGTGGCCCTGAGAGGCCAAACGGACTGCAACTTCAGAAAACACTTGCAAAAAGAAAAATGCTGCAAAAAGAAAAACGCTGCAAAAGCACACAAAACACAACGGAAATAGGAAAAAACACAATGGAAATGTTTCTGGGGAGACAATAACCCGACGGACCAGTTGC